AGACCCTCTCGCGCGAGAAACGAGGGAGAGAGTCCCGAAATGAAACATAATCACCGCGAATCACGATATGATCGATTGCAAAAGTCGGTGGATCAGAGATAACATCAAAGATAAGTTCGTGCCGCGCGTGGGCGCGAAACGACTTCGAAATATCTTACAAATGTAACTTTTATGAAGGGCAGAAGCACCGCCGACGACATCGCGAGCGAACGATATTATTACGAGAGCTCTCGCGATCGCTCGTGGAAGACAACCGCAAGGCGTTTCGTTATCGAGCTTCTTTAAAGCATAACTTAGCCGGCCAGCTGTAGTTAGTCCACGCGTACCTAACACATTTAATAATATATTGTCCATATTGCTTATGGCACCAACTCTTGAGCGATTTTATTACACGCAGTCCGGAGAGATGGTTGCGTTTTGCTCCATATATGAGCCCGCGTCTCTTTGAGCAAGACAGGAAACCGATTAAGTGATTAAGATTTAAGTAGCTAGGATGACGTGGACTCTAATGTAATATAGGTATATTTATAGGTAGTATCTCTAGTTGAGCAGAGAGAGGTGGGAAAAGAACGATAGTACAAACGCATCACTCTGAGTATATTGCTACCGCGTGCGAACACGTGCTTCTCTTTCGATTTATTAGAATTATTGCGATAATTTATATGAGCGAGGAGAAAAATATATGTTACGTAATGTGACATATTCTCAAATTCTAGTGTCTTCTACTCGTCTTGAATCTTTGATTCACGCGCGATAAAGGTCTCAATTAACACACGCTAAATTATAACGACCGAACTATAACGACGCAAATGAGTATTCGACATTCTGGAGGATTTTTCGTGAAGAGTAAAGTTTTACGCGTCAACACATCGATGCGTCACGGAAGATATACAAAAAAACATTTGGAGAATCGTATCTTCAATCTATGAAAATACAAAGTCGCTAGTTTACACAGTTGCAAGTGTCGGGTGTGGTCGCGCGTTACTTGAACGCGTGCCATTGTTTTTCTCGCGCAATCGGGTATTATGTCTGCCCTCATATAAATCTCGATGTGACATGTGCGTGGTTTCCCTACAGCTGACCATGTTCTAGTACATTAAAAACACCATTAACAATACGTTCAGTAGTAAAAGTTAATAGAGAATAGTATAACATCAAATAGAAGAGTATAAAGAACCATGCTGGCATATAGAGATAGACATTAAAGTAGGTAATAGGTAAGAGGACGATAGATTACGATATCAATATAATCCGTAATAACTTTTTTCACTTATTAAGAGTAATTTTGCATAAACGTTGATGATCATTTAGTAGACTTTTTTTTCTCTTTAATACAATATTTTGAGCACATTCCTCAGGTGTATAACCACGCTACACTTTCTTCATCGAGTTGTACCAATATATTCCACAAACTGATTAAACTTCACCGGTACTAAATTATTCAACGACTATCTCAAGATCTTCGTCAACGTGCGAGCCCATGGCGTGCATTGAACATTCTGTAGGAAGTATCGTGCGAAAATTCACTTAAACGAGAGAGGATACGTTACAGTATAACGGTTACTACGTAGTAACTAAATTATCCAAATAATGAATAAATTATAGGTAATAATAAAATTAACTTAACATATGTCGAAACATCACTGCGACTACTTGCATCTAAAACATGATTATGCGTTTCTAAATAGTCGTTGCCGAGATAAAGGTGTCTCGCTACTTTCTTACTACGATATTGCCTGATCGTAACGCGCTTTTTTCCTCTAACGGTAATCAATCACTCGATACGTTTATTTAACGTGTACGTGAATTTAGCAACTGACCTACGACCGCGAATGCAGGATTTCAGTATTCTTTTTTCAATCACCGATACAGTATCGATATAGTATTAGTATAGTAATCTAAGAGACGTTTATACGAGATAAAAACAAGCACGAAATTATTAATCACGATTAATGTCTTTTGTCAGCTTGTTATAGGACCTCGAAAATAAATGTTTAACAACAAAATAAACGGATGTGACGCCAACACACAAGTCCGGGCATGACGTGACATCAACTCAAACGGGAATAACGTGATAACAACAGAACGGTAATTTTCTCAATACGAATAAACTGTTCACACAATAAAATGTAAAATATGAAAACAACACAACTGTTTAATAATTGTCAATGAGTGCAAAATGCTCCATTTGCACAGCCATTAAGTTAAGTGTTAGTTGGTAACTTTCAAGTTAATTATCTAATCATATACACGTACGGGAGCAGAAACGAAAATCGTATCGTATATGGATTTGTCGATAATTAGTTCGGATTCATCCACTCGATGTTATCGCTATTCGATTTTATGGCAGTACAATATCGGTACAACTCACTAGTTGATGGCACGGGTCCGCCTATGTACAAATATGTAATACCATATACCACATACCATTTAAATACATCACATAGTTATCATTTTGTTATATATATATATTCTTCATATAGATATATATATCATTCTTTTCTGTGACGTGGAGGGACTCGTTTGTACAATTCATGCATATCTTCGTTACTGTTTCATTGCTTCGTTTCATGCCTTTCCCACATTCTGAGTAAATAGCCTCCAGTACCGTACGTATTCCGTATTAACGCTGTTCTAAATCCAGAATGCTACTCTTTGTCTCAATACAAAATTATGAAAAGATGCTCGTGAAATTTCAATAAGCCCTAATTGTCATCGTATAAAATTTGCGATGTGACTAAATTAGGCCGTATAAATAGGATTTAGTATAAAATTGGTAAAGAAATAAAGCAGGAAAAAGTAACGGAAAATCTGGTTATTGAGAACGGATGTTGCAATTGTAATTATCATTAATATCGCAACATCTGGATTTGATCAGCCAACACGTATCAATATCTCTTCGTTCCATTTATTACTATCTACGACGTTCCCCTTGAAGCTCTAAGTTCTGATTAAGAGTTAGATTACATACAATAATAATTATATTAGTAGAAACTTAGTTTCTGTAACAAGTGTATTGTCTTAAATGATATGTCTGCTAATTTTGTTGTATTTGACCTATGCACCGAGCCTGTGGTCGGAATTCATAACAATTTTATTCCTTAAATAAACTAACGCTTTAAGATTCGAAATTCTAGAATCTTATAGTATATAAATCTCTAAAGTACTACACTCTCGTTTTTGCTTACGTACTGGAGACCATTACTCAGCCGTTACAGAATCATATATTTTAATACGGTTACAAAGGAGTATTTCCACGGGCTCAAAAGATCACATCACATAATAAACATTCACAAACATGATCTTGCGATATTGCGACTGCATCGGAAAAATCGAAAATAGATATTTACGAAGATGTTTAATAGAATTGTCGTTTAATATCGCATAGAATCATTATAGGCCGCCAAATTTAACAGATGTAGTGAATTATCAGCCATTGAATGATATTGTACAAGCATTAAATTAGTGCCCTTATGTGGCGATACCCCCTCATATTAATTTTTTGTCTGTAAATAAATAAATAATGAAGATGTTGTGTGTGGCCGGAATATTTGATGTTTAGTTTGCAATATATTTTTGTAGATCGGGGAGAGGATTAATGAGACACATATAGAGATAGAATAGAGACTAAAGTACAGATTTCTGAATGTCTAATGTCACACGGGGAAGTATACGCCGCGCTGTTGACAATTAGACTTTCATTCACAATTATCATATAGTATTTACTTCTGAGTGAAACAAATAGAAGATTAAAAGCCATTTTCACGAATTGTTAAGACTTGGCAGATTTTTTTTTAAGCGTCCTCAGTCACTTGCGTTTGCTCGAGAAAAGTTTAAAAAGTTAAAGTACGTCGCGATTCATTTAATGGTAAAAGTTAATAAGAAGAAGAGTGTTAACAATAACAATATTCTCAAGGTAGAATTAGAGTATCTACGATTGGCAACTCTCTTGAATAACAATTTAGAGTTTCAATAAATGAAACTTGATATAAATATATTTTAATCTTTATAAAATTTAGTACATTTATATTTAAGTTTACCTTTTTTCTTTCCTTTAATAAGATGCACGTTGCTTTCGTTCTAAACGTATAGATATTTCTTTTTTTTAAAGGATGTTCCTATATATACATATAAATATACGAATAACTAAGTCAAAATTAAAATTTGATTTGTATCTCGAAGTAGGTATAAGCGTGTAATAACCGAAATAAACGAAAACTATAAACCGCAAATATTCGATCGACAAATGTGTAACAACATTTTACAAGATGGAAAGGAAAATAGAAAGGAACACAACTTACATCGTTTAGAATCGTTTTCGTTTCGTTTCTTCTCTTCTTTTTACATTAACGTTAATTAAAGAAACGCGACATCGTAGATAAAGGAATAGAGTCAGTTCGATGCATCGTCGAATTATACAGAAAATACTAAAGAAAAATAAATCTTTCTCAGATCGCATAAGGCACCTTACATATAGGAACATCATTGTAAAAATTTTTAAACAGAAAACAAAAACTCACACGGATCACGGGGAACGTACGACCAGCCATTGTTTTTACAAGAGTCTCGCCACGTAGTCTCTAGTAAGGTAGAAAATGAAGCCAAGTATATATATTTTTCTTTATATATATATATATGTATATATATATATATGTATAGATCCCTCCTAAAACAACCTAAAACCTAACCTATTTGCTTTTGCATAGAGTTCACTTTAATTGTACATACAGACACTGACGTTATATGTACAAACATGTACACGTCTTATGTACATATAGCTATTCAATGATCATTGAAGTTAAATATCAATTAATTAATAAATGTTCTCTATTCTGTGTCGGGTGCGCGTATGTATAGTATGTATGTATGAGCGTATGTATAATCATTACTTTACATTCAGTATATATATATATATATATATATATATATATATATATATATATATATATATATATATATATATATATATATATATATATATATA